AAAAATCTAACTAAAATTAAAAAGAAATTTTTAATTGTATTTTTCTCTTTCTTTTAACTCAACTAAAAGCGTAAACCCTTCCTCCGCAACACGTCCCCGACAACCGTTGCCTGTGCAGGTCCCACAAACCAAACGAAACGTAAAAAGCCCGGCAAAAACTCTTCTTAACCCCCTAACGTATCCCAAATTAGCATTTAAGCCCTTGAACTAAAAATGATGAAATTAAGCCCTTAAACTCGCCAACCGGTGCAAATAAGCCCTTCAACTTAGATTTGCAGCAAAAGTGCCCACATCTATATTATTGTGTGACACTCTAAGTAGTTTTCAATTTATAAAACTTATATTTTTAATTTAATCTTATTTTTCTGGTACTTTCATTTGCCCCAATTAATTTGAAATTGAGTTGAGTCAAATCTCACAAAAAAAAATCTCTTTTAGTACTTATATTTCTATTTATAAAATTCAAATTCGAAACTTTATTTAAGAATAATTAAGTTTTTTTAATTTAAACCAAAAAATCGTTAGGAATTTCGTCTTACTTTTCTACTAATTTTTTTTAAAAGATCAGAATTTGGAGTTTAATTATAAAATAATTATATATCTCATTTTCATTAATAAGAGTTAAAAATACCACATACATTGTTCATAATTTATACATTACAAAAGAACAATGTATCTAGTATCTTCAACTTTTATTAGTGAAAATGAGATATGTAATTATTTTATAATTAAAATCCAGATTCTAATCTATTTAAAAAAAAACCCTAATAAAAAAGTATGATAGAATTCTCAATGACTTTTGGGTTTAAATAAAAATAATTTAGTATTTCTTAAATAAAATTTAAAATTTGAATCTTATAAATAAAGATATATGTACTAAAAGAGTTTTTTTCTTTATGAAATCTGACTCGAATTAATTTCAAATTAATTAAGGTAAAAGGAAGTAATAAAAAAATAAGATTAAATTAAAAATACAAGTTTTATAAATTGAAAATTACTTAGAGTGTCAACACAATAATTTAGGTGTCGGCACTTTTGCTACAAATCTAAGTTGAAGGGCTTAATTGCTTCATTTTTACTTTAAGGGTTTAAATGATAATTTGGGGAAATTTTAGGGGCTTAATAAGGGTTTTTGCCAAAAATCCCTATTTTGTCTGTTTTGACCTTTGCTATTTTGTTTGTTTTCACGTCCCCCGCGTAGCCCAGACAGCAGTATCTCCTCATTTGCTTTCTCCACCATTTTTCTTTTCCTTCATTACATTTTCAGTGAGAAATTCTATAGAAGAAACCAGCTGCATCCTCTCGGTAGTGTTTCAACTCTTTTTCAGTCAAGCAAAGGATTTGCATTTTTGCCCAAAGAGAAAGCAGGTAATCCTCGTTAATCCCCCGTGCTGCTATTTCTTGAGAAAACTTCTATCAGAATTGTTTTTCAATCCCCCTTTTTATGGGATTTATGTTGTATTTTGATGGTTTTATCTTTGTTTGTCCTATTTCTTATCCAGCTCAAGAGGGCTCTTCTTTATCTTGTATTACTACTCCTTTTTTCCAGTCACCAACCCTCTCTCTCTTTGTTATCCTCATATAAGTTTCTTTTAAACTATAGTATGGTTCACTGTAATCTTGTCCTTATGGCTACGGAGGAACCAAGTAGTCTTCGCCAAAGAAACTGACTCACAAAGCCAGGTATTAGAACTAATCAAATACAGATTTTTCAGTGGATTAAGGCAAAAATAAGGCCTGATCTATCTCAAGAGGATTGGTTCAAGGGTCCGTCGGAGGTTTGCAAAGTCATACTGACCGGGGCAAGGTAAGCTGTAGGAGTGTGCTATGTTTTATCCTGTGATGTTTTAGCTCTTTTTTTCTGATTTTTTCTTTTTTTATAAAGTGTCTTTTAAACTAACAGATTTCCATAAGAATAGGATGCCCATCATATGAAGGATATTGATTTCATTATTTTCCGTTTGTTCATAATTGAAAGCTTTTCTAACCCAGGCACATACCTAGATTGTTTTTTTCGAACAGTAAAAATATTGTTTTTAAGAGTATTTAAATAATTTTATAAAAAATTTTAATATTTAAAATATTAAGATGGTCTTGCTTTTTATTTTCCTCTAAATTTTATATTTTCTTCGAGTCTTACTTTTATTTTTTTTAATTTTTAAACGAAAATAATATTATTAATCAAATTAGGACAATAACATCAAGTTTTACCTGTTAAATTTAGATTAATGTTTTAATTTCTTTTAATCAATTAGGAGTATACTCAGGTGATTAATTTAACACTATTGGTATGATGAACTGAAAATCTATATTCATGTGTAGAAATTCTTTTATTTAAGAGTTTGAGATGTGTTTCTGCAGATGATTGGCATGGTTGGGAACGGACACAAGACTTTAAGTCGCGCCATTGAAATGATTCTTCCCCCAAAAAATATACAAACATCTTCATTTCTCAGAGTTTCAGGGGCTGGTTTGTCAATTGCAGTTCATGTTAACAATCAATGGCACATTGTAAGGATCTCTGCTGGTTTCTTCGAATACTTCGATGCCCGTACTACAACAGGAAGGACAGTGGGAGTGGATATCTTCCAATTTTATGATTTACTAGCTCCTCACTTGAAACGTAATTCGCGTTTCACCATCATAGTTGAGAATGAAGGATCTACTTTGGATCGCATCAGGGTAAGGTATCAAGGTAAGCAGCATTTTTGTGGAATTCATATGCTTGCTATGTGTGCATGGTTTCTTCTCAATGTTGAGTGATACGTAGCATTTATATTCTATAAGAAGTTAGTACGTTAATAGCCAGTGGAGAATTAACTAGCTAGGTAATTAAGTAGAGAATACAATATATTGCATTTATTGGATATATACTTTGGACTCAAGACTAGTGTTTATAATTTGTACCAAGAGAAAGAATGGAGAAGAACCAAGAAGAAGAAGAAGAAGAGAAACCAATTGAGTAGAGAATAAGAAGAGCACAATCATGTTCTAAGAAAGAGACTAGGTGAAATATTCATTTTGCTATGCTTTCGCTAACCCAGAATAAATCAGCTAGAGGTTCGTACAATTTCCCAATCTGGTAACACAGCAATTTGAAAAATTTTCAACATCATATGCATGCCTCTTTTTGATTTTTTACTTCAATTGCTTGTTGTTTAAAAGTGAAACTATGCATAATGTTGATATATCTTTCTTTTCTTTCAGCTGGCCGTATGTATACCACACATTCCATAGAGACTGTGGGTATAGCTAATGGTGCAGATCAGGGAATCAATGTGCTTGAACTTGAGGCCACTGATCATAGATACATAAATTTCAGGAGGAGGGTGCTTCGCAGGTTCTTTAACAAGTGTTATCGTGAGGTGATGCATGTGCAACCACAACTGCGAGCTGGTAAGAATTAGAAAAACAATACTTTCTCTTTGGATGATGCTTCCTGGTGCATGTTTCCTTCCTGACTTGAGTTGTTGGAAACTTAGACCACCTTAATTTTTTTTTTTTTTTCTATCAGCATCCTTTGCTATTGTACTAATTATACAAGAGATATCTCTTGTAGGTCCTAGTGATGAATTACGTTTGAGAGTTACTCATCAAGAGATAAGAGCGGAAGCACTTGGACTCGTTCGAACATATTCTTCATTGGTATGACAAGCTGTATAACCTTCACAAAGGCCATATACTTAAAATGTTTATTTCGGTTAACTATATAAACTAGTTAATTATATTATGTAGGCTGGTCATTACAACATGCATGACACTGCAAGTGACGTGGATGTGGTGGGTGATGATGAAGAGATTATTGTGCAGTTCCCTCAAGCCACTGGTTGGTTTGTGTGGCCTGCACAACATGCAGAATCCATTCGCGTGCACTTGGGTTTAGTCAGATCACTTGAGTTTCGATTTGCTAACTGTAGCGTTTATTTTATATGATGATTACCAGATTGATAAAATTAAAAAAAAAAAAAATTGGTTGTTACTTTGATGGATCAATGTGTACAAGGAATGCTGAATCTTTTGCTTTATGAATATTATATGATAATGTGCAAATTAATTTGTTATATGTCCCTATTTGTGCTATCAAAAATGTATTTTATATGGTGAATTGTACTTTAAAAATGTGGTGTTTTTTTATAAATTTACTTAAAATTTTTTAATGATATTATTTTTTATACTGTTTCATTAAGGATATTTAATTAAATTCATATTGCAAATTATACTTTTAATATATAATTCATTACATAAAACATGAATCTCTCGTGCAATATCACTGACTTTTTATTTTTAACAACTAGGATGTTTTTGAGGTAATTTACACATACTTCAAACTTAATTTCTTTTTAATCTGATTAAAAATAAATCATTCATATTTAAATTAAAAAATTCATAAAAAAATTATTTTCTCATTCTCAAAAATCAAACCTTTAATCATGCGGAAAGCTAACTCCTTTATCAATTAAATCAAAACTCTTTAGCCATATTTCACTAGTGTTAGAAAATCCAAAATTAAGTTCAAATCTGCTTGATAAACCTAAAATTAAACTCTCATTTATTTTAATTAGAGGGTTTATTTATCTTATACTTTTAGGGTACAAAATAAAAAGTAATTATTGTTTAATATGACTACTTTTTATATTAAAAGTGATAAAATTGACTATTGTTTTAATTATAGATGCTATGTATTAAATTTTTGTTAGTTTATTTTAAATTATAAAACTAAAATTATTTTTTAATTTAAAATTTCACATTTAAAAAAATCACAGTTTTTGTTTAATTATTATTCTTTATCTCATACCCTTAAAATACAAAATAAACAAACCCTTTTAATTAACCCTCACTCCATCTTTAACTTGGGAGAAATGAAAACCGTATTTAATTAACCCTTTTAATAAACATCTTATTTGATTAGATTAATATAAATAAGTAAATAAATAAAAACTCTTCTCCTGCCCTATCGTTAAGTTTTTGTTAACTAAAGAAGGAAATTTCTCTTCCTCCAATCCTCTTAGAATCAAACAAGCTATCATACTCGATCATGGAAATCAAAAACCAGGAAGAGAAGGAGAAGAAAGATTCGGTTTCATCCCAACCTCAGGGGATTCCAACAATTCAACTACCAAGCAATTTACTGAGCATCAATGATTATGGAAAATTTGTTTGGGCTTTATGCTCTTTACCGATAAAAGCATCTTTCCTTGATCATATCGGTCCGATCTAGGATGATATTCTCTACTGGGTTCAATTCTCTTTGATCCTAGAACCTGACAGTCAGATGAATAGAATTGTTGCCGGAAACAAGGAATCGGTTTCATCCCGATCGATTGGGGAACCTGTCAAGGAGATAAATAGTGTTATCCTGGGTAAGGATGATTTTCAGTTTCAACCCAATCAGTTGTCAAGGAGATGAGTAGCTTCATCAGTTTTATCCCAATCTGATGATTCAAAACTAGGGTTTGTTACCTTTCCCCCCCTTTTTGTTTCCCGATGTTAATTATGATCCTTATGTTTTTTGTGCTGCAAATATTATTCACTAGTTTAGATGAAAATCTAGTTCCAAAAGATGCTCTTTTTATTTCATTTGCTCTTCAATGTATATTTTTTCTGTTACAATTTGAGTTTTAGCTTTAAGGAAACTAAAACAAACATATACATTGATTGACGCACGGCTCGGTGGACTTCATGTTGCATGGAGTAGTTTAGTTGTTTTCTAAGTTTTACAGGAATCCTTAATGAAGGATAGGACTTTATCCCACAAAAACTGGTTTCCCAGATGTATGAAATGACTGACTGTTTTGTGATACTAAATCTTATTTTCCACAGTATTAAAGTTTCAGAGGTATTGAATTTTTAAGCCTCTATTATATTTTGTAGATGGATGGATGCCTGCAATTGCAAATATGGGTGCTTGTTTAATCTTTTCTCATTTATGTGTAAAGACTGTTTTACCTCGGTTGAAGGTATGGTGCTGCTGGTAATCAACTGATATTGTTTACCTACTTATTTGCCAGGGGACTCTGATTCACATTTCTTCTGTCTTCCCAGCTTGGTCCCTTGGCAGAGCCATTGGAGTTGAGGCTCAGCAGAAAAAGACCAATTCCTTTATTTGACTCGTGTTGGGATCAATACCATGAATATAGACATCACTGAAATGAGATCTGCTGCAACCTCTGGCTGCAGAATCTCCAACCTGGCCATGTCACCTACCTTGTTTCAGTTCCCGCCAGAGAAGTTGCAATGTCTATCTTACCTTTTCTTTTAATTTCCCTTTTTTCCTAGGGTTTTACATTGTTGATGAAAGAACATTAAACAAATAAGAATTTAAATTATTAGAAAGTATTCATAACTTAACTAATTCATGTCTCTGCTCTGTTTTGGTTTCTTGTCAAGAAAATGAAAAATTAGAAGCTAGTTGGATATCTTATCACAGGAAAAATTTTGTAGATTGATTGTATGAGGACAACATCCTGTTGCAGTTATTGCTGAGAGGGTGTGTCTTTGGCTGCTGTTTATAGAGAGGAATGGGATCTCCAGCAGAGCATTACTCATGGAGAATTGAAACAAATGTTCCTCTTGCTCACCCTTTCAATGTGAGTCCTATTACTTCCTATAAATCATTTGAACTTTGATTAGGAAAATTAACTTCAAACGAACAGAAAACATTTCTCTGAGGAGCAGCTGGAAAATCTCAAGTTTTTCATCCGAAAGTATCCGAAGATCTCAAGTTTTTCATCCGAAAGTATCCGAAGATCTCAAGTTTTTCATCCGAAGGTGGTTTATTGTTCCTTTCTTTTTTAATTTCTTAATATGGATACGGTTTTCCCCTTTTCTTCCTTGGTCATATGGATGCTAGTTGGTCCTTGAATATTTATTTTCAATTTTCAGAAAAGCATTTAGACCCAAAGTAAGTAGAGAAAACAAAATCTTGATTTCAGATGTCCATTACCTTGTATAATTATATCTTAAACTTTTTTATTATGTGTGTTTACAACTTTTTAGTTATGCTACTAGTTTTTGCCACTTTGGATCTCTTTTTAGGTTTACTCAGCATTATTTTTATTTAGAGTCTGTGTCACTCTTATAGTTTTGTTATTTATTTGGAGGATATATGGTCATTATTGTCTTAAAGCCAGCATTTTGCTTTTGGTTATCCAATAATCATGGTTGATTTACTGAAGTTTGATTACCACATCATCATGTTTCTAAATTTACCGATCTTTGAAAATTCTCTAGGTTGATGCTTGTCAATTGATAATGTATTGATTTTTTCCTTTCTTTTCTGTTACACCACATCTCTGTGCGTGTGCCACTGCAGGGACCCAAGTCACCTTTTCGTGAATTAGATATGAAGGCCCCAATAAGGAAACAGTTGGCCAATATTGTTATCGTGGAATATCCTGTAATTCATGTTTTTCTCCCTTCACATAGCTTTGATTTTGAAGTTGAAGTTGTTAGAGAAGACCGAAGTGTTAATAGACCAGAGCTCAAGGATTCTGGCAGCAATGATAATGGAAGCCCAAAAGGTGTTACCTTTCGCGAGGAGGAAATTAAAGAAGACAACAACAGTGATCCTCAAGTGTTTGATATCTTGAAGCATGTGAATTCAAGTCCAAAACACCAAATCCACGGTCAAAATAGGTTTGAGAAATCATCAAATAACTCAGCAAAGGCTTTGTTGGGGAGCACTGGAGCAGGCAAAAGTTTGCAGTCCAGCTCGCATGCCAAGGAATCAATAGATTTAGAAGACATGAAAATCGATTTTGATCAAGGTTTATTAGATATATTCTCAGATATCATGGCAGAAATAAATGATGATGATTTTCTTCCTTTGAGAGCTGAATTTGGCAAGGAACCAGAAACACAAGAAAAAGGAAACCTTCCAAATTCGAAAGAAGATTGCTTTCCTGAAGAGTTGGAGGAAGGAGAGATTGCAGATTAGTTGATTAACTTTGTTTCCAAAATGTTTATTTACAATCTGCTCTTCTTTTTATATACGAATATATTAATCTTTTTCTTGCTAGAATTTTTTTTACATGTCATTATTTAATAAACTAACATCTTATGAGTCTTTGCTGATCAAAAAAAAAAACATCTTATGAGTCTTTTTTTTATTAATGGCAATGGGCAGTATCACCGTCAGGGCGACCAAACCCAGGAGCCTTAACCCCAGAATGCATCATCCTTAAAGGAATTGTCTCCAGCCCCACCTTGTATCTATAGCTTCTGACGCTACGGTAATGATACCTTCTATGGGTGTCCATGCCTCATGTATCCACCAGTGAAAGACGTCGGTAATGGCAGTCGTGTCCACTGCTTCCCATGAGAGGTTAGCGCGGATGATCCCTGGCTGCAAACCATCCCACACACTGTAGAGCCACAGCCTCATCTCCTATTCCTTTTGGTACACCATCGTCTAGACTGTATAGCAGCCACCAATTCCCTTTGTTTTGATCCTGTTTAAAACTGAGTACCTTCGTTGTTTTAATAATGATTTGAACATGAAACTCGATATTATAAACATAAAATTGAGGTCCGCCAACCAGTGAGACATTTGGGAATATCAAGTTGAATTTTGGTACTGGCTAGAATGAAGCCCCGGCAACTTGTATCATAGCAACCGTGCATTGATCCATTGACTCCTTTCTTGGATGTATAAACATCAATGCTTAATCAATATTTATGGTTCCTGCATTTTTAGGAAAGGGGTAATGAAGATGATCAAATGTACATACATCCGAAACTGTGTAAGGTCGAGTTATCTTGTCCCCAAAAATTTTTGGCTTCTCGTTAAAAATTTTTTTTTTTTTTTTTTTTGTAAAGATGATACACAAGTAAAATTTCAAATAAAAAAATCGTAAAATATAACATTATTGGGAACTTGTAGGAACCGCTAGCTAACTTATTCAGTGTTCAAAGTATAGCAAAATGAATATTTCATCTAGTCTCTTTCTTAGAACATTATTGTGCTCTTCTTATTCTTTACTCTTAGTTTCTCTTCTTCTTTTTGGTTCTTCCCCATTCTTTCTCTTGGTACAAATTATAAGCACTAGCTTGAGTCCCAAGTATATATTCAATAAATGCAATATATTGCATTCTCTACTTAATTACCTAGTTAATTCTCCACTGGCTATTAACATACTAATCTTCTTATAGAATATAAATGCTACGTTTCACTCAACATTGAGAAGAACCCTTGCACACATAGCAAGCGTATGAATTCCACAAGAATACCGCTTACCTTGATACCTTACCCTGATGCGATCCGAAGTAGATCCCTCATTGTCAACTATGATGGTGAAATGAGAATTAACACTCATGTGAGGAGCTAGTAAATCATAAAATTTGAAGATATCCACTCCAACTGTCCTTACTTCCGTAGTACGGGCATTGAAGTTCTTGAAGAAACCAGCGGAGATCCTTACAATTAATGTGCCATTGATTGTTAATATGAATTGCGATTGACATGCCAGCCCCTGAAACTCTAAGAAATGAAGATGTTTGTATATCACGTTGGGGAAGAATCATTTCAATGGCGAGACGTATATTCTCGTGTTCGGGTGCAACCACGGCAATCATCTGCAGAAACATATCTCAAAATTCTTGTATAAAAGAATTTCTACACATAAATATAAATTTTCAACTCATCATACTAACAGTGCTAAATTAATCACCCATGTACACTTATAATTGATTGAAAAGAAAGGAAAAAAAAATTAATCTAAATTTAAAAAATAAAACTTGGAGCCCTTGTATTGATCTGACTAATAATATTATTACTGTTTAAAAAAATTTTAAAAGATAAGACTTGAAGAAAATATAAAATTTAGAGAAAAATAAAAATTATGACCATTCTTAGCAGTTTAAATATTAAAATTTCTTCATTTTTTGTAAAATTATTCAAATAACCTTAATGAATTTTTTGTAGGTGTTAATTCATTAGAAATATTTTAATTTTCATAATCATTCTTAATATTTTACTTAGAAGAATGTTCTAATTTTACTCTATCCCTAAAATATAAACCTCGTTCTTCTAATTTTAAACAACACATCAATATATCTAGGAAATTCTTTGCCCAATCTGCAGTGGGACCAGTACACGAGAACCGAGTGACCACAAAAACAACACCACAGGAAGAAGTAAATAATAGAATGGAAAGTGATATTTCATCAATTGATTTATCTCAAAGTACATTTAAACCATTAAAACCAGATCTTTGTTACATATATAAAAAGAATCATCTATATGTCTAGGTATGTGCCTGGTGTTTTTGGTTACTGTTGCATAGCAAATGAATATGATGTAATTATTTTATGAGTTTAGAGTATCTCTTGTACTTTATCAATAAAAATAATATTTTTGTTGTTAAGAAAAAAATTTAGGTATGTGTCTGAGTTAGAAAAGCTTTCAATGCACAACGGAAAACAATGAAACCAATATCCTTCATATGATGGGCATCCTATTAATTACTATGGAAATCTATTAGTTTAAAGACACCTCCATTTTTTTTCTTTTTTTTTTTTCCTGGAATCAGCAAAGAAGAGCTAAAACATCACATGGATAAAACATAGCCTACAGCTTACTTTGCTTCGCTCAATATGACTTTGCAAGCTTCCCACAGAGCCTTGAACCAATCCTCTTGAGATAGATCAGGCCTTATTTTTGCCTTATCCACCGTGAGATCTGTGTTTGATTAGTTCCAATACCTGGCTTTGTGAGTCAGATTCTTTGGCGAAGACCATTTGGTTCGTTCGTAGCCATAAGGACCAGATTGCAGTGAACCATACTATAGTTTAAAAGAAACTTATATGAGGATAACAAAGACAGAGAGCGTTGGTGACTGCAAAAGGGAGGAGTAAAACAAGATAAAGAGGAGCCCTCTTGAGCTGGATAACAAATAGGACAAACAAAGAGAAAATAATCAGGAAACAACATATATCCCATAAAAGGCGGATTGAAAAACAATTCTGATAGAAGTTTTCTTGAGAAAGAGCAGCACGGATGATTAACAAGGATTACCTGCTTTCTCTTAGGGCAAAAATGCAAATCCTTTGCTTGACTGAAAAAGAGGAGAAACACTTCCAAGAGCCTGCAGTTGGTTTCTCCGATAGAATTTCTCACTGGAGAAGTGATGAAAGTAACAAAAAAGTGATGAAGGGAACAAAATGGTGGGAAAACAAATACGGAAGATTTGGTTTCACACGAAGGTCTGAGGTAAGCATTACGTACGTTTATGGTCTTTGCGGGTCACTTTCTTTTTTTTTTTTTTTTTGAGGAAAAGGGGGTCACTTTAATTTTAAAGCATATTCTCCATCTTGTTTTGTCAGTTACCTCTATGTATTTTGACTTTACATTAGTACATTAATTAATGTTATTCATTCTCCTTTACCATTCCCTCTTTAATTGTCTCCCATCTTCATCTATTCCCATGTTATTTTCTTTTATTTCTTACTTTAAAATCACATCTCTCTACTTGTTTTTTTTATAAAGCACATTTAAATTCTCCAGTTCGTTTTACGCTTTATCAACATACACTTATGTTATTATTATACATTTTAATTTTGCTGTAGACAGGACTGCCATTACCTACGCCTTTCACTGGTGGATGAGACATTGATAACCATAGAAGGTATCATTACCGTAGCATTGGAAGGTGTAGATACAAAGGTGGGACTGGATGCAATTCCCTTAAGGATGATGCTTTCTGGGGATTAAGCTTTTGGTTTGGTGGCCCTGGCGGTGATACTGCCCATTGCCATTAATAAAAAAACTCATAAGATGTTTAGTTTATTAAATAATAAAAAAAAATTCTAGCAACAAAAAGATTAATTTATTCGTAAATAAAAAGAAGAGCCGATTGCAAATAAACATTTGAGGAATGCAAAGGGCAATCGCCCCTCCTCACTCGCTCTAGCACCCTCCACGTTATGCTGCCACGTAGTCACCGAATTTGACATCTAAACTGGGAACCGACTATACTCGGTTCTTTATTTTATTTCTACTTTTCATTTCTTCATTTCTCTCTCTTTCCTAGCTTTTCTTTCTTCTCCAGTTCTCCATCCATCTTCAACACGAGAAAGTCTGCTGTATCCCGGGGATACCGCTGACGTGGTATCCCCAGCCAATCACAGCATGCCACATCATCAAAAATTCTTCACCTCATTAGCCATGTCAGTTTATTCAACAGTAAAAATAATGATGTGGTACGCTGTGATTGGCCGGAGATACCACGTCAGCGGTATCCCGGGATACAGCAGAATTTTTCCTTCAACACAGTCAAAATCAAAACTTTTTACAAAGCGGCAATCATAAACTCAAATGTAGGAATCTACCAGATGAAATCCTCACTCTTCAGATTATTTCATTTTGTCGCTGGATGTTTTGATGTTCGAAAAGAAAAAGTACCAAAATCAAATATCCTCCTCCGTTCATCTCCATCAGTTCCTTCTCTCAGCTTTTCTTCTACAGCGCTCCACCCATCCTAAACAACTTTCCAACTTCTCTTCTCTTATAAAAAAAAAAA